AGGGGACTGAACATAAATTTAAAAGGGGACTTAGGGATTTAAGAGGAATTGTCCGTTAAATAAGTCACTGACCACTGTACAAAGAAACGAAAAAAAATGAAAAGGAAAATTGTCCAACCCCAATTTTCCTCTCGTGAACACGATGACGAAGAAGAAGAAGTAGAAGAAGAGAGCTATTGATTCAGTCTGAAAATACAGGATTCAATCTTAATCTGAATTTTTTTGGGGAAAATCCAATCACAGCAGTAGCTCTCGGCAATTTTCACAAGGTAATCATAAATTCAAGCCGAGCTTCTGAATTGGTCGGTCTCCTTGCGTGGGCGGCATACGTCTCGGAGGCGGCGGCGGCGGGCGCAGCGACGACGAGAACTATCCTAATTCAATCCGTCACGCCCAAGAGCTCGATCGTAAATTGGCTTCTCTTAACCGTTCGATCCAAGATCTGCTGCTAAAATTGCCACCGCACGACATCCCCCAGCGCCTCCCTGACATCCACGCTCACTCTCCAGCTCAACGCTCATTCAACTATCAAGAAACATGTATTGTTCTTTTTTTTCGTATTTTGTTTTTGTTATTATTTTGGGGAAATTTTCTTATTCTTGCCTGATATGCATTTGAGTAGCATGATGTGTGGGATAAATCACTTATGCTTTATGTTTTTGCATTTTTAGAGATTTAGAAAGAATAGAATTGAAATAACAACCTTGGTTTGGTTACAGCTATGATTGAGAGAAAAAAGGTGCAATCTTTTGTTAAATTGAAGTGTCTTTTTGCTCGTAATTCGACAAAAATTCAGGAGAAGCTGCGCGAAGCAGATTTGCTTCGAAGTAAGCTAAACGTTGGAGTTTGATCTGCCGCACTATTCCCATATGTTTACTCCCTGATACAATAATCATTTCGGTTCTTATTGGTTCACCCTGTAGCATCCAACATTTTGATTCTTATTGTATTTGACATGAAAATTGTCGTATAATGGGTAAAATCCAAACAGACTTCAAAGGCTCACACAATTTCAGGTGCCTTTTGGAGGATGCTAAGTGTAGAACCATGATTAGCCTATGAATTCTCCCAGACCTAGGATGCAAGGTGAGCTTGTGCCACTATGTGTTCCCCTCTTCTTCTTATTCTATTCATGCATTTTCAATTTTTTTAGATTTAATTCACTGGCTGTTTGGAGCTGGAGTTGGTAGAATTTGGTCAACTTTAGTATGATTCT